TCATTGTTCACAGCGGATATACAGTATGTGTGACTGTAAAAGCTGCGTCCAATATACAGGGTGAAAATGAATGCATCTGAAATAATATACTATAATATTATATATTAAAATTAATATATCATAATGATAGGAGTGTAAGCTGTGACCTGGTACAGTCAAAAAAAATCTTGATGATGCACAATAAGTTTTTCTCAATGTTAAAATAAAAACAATGTTTGGACCAATAAAGAATATCTAGACGGTGATTTATTTTTTAATAACAGCATCTAGGTGGAGAGCTCTGAATCAATAAGGTATTTTATAGTTTGATATTAAACATTCATTACTGCATGTCATTGAAAACATATATCTCTTTTTTAGAGTTCCCCATCCACTAAAGTGTATTTTGCTTTGTTTGAACTTCACTGTGCAGAACGCTGTGTGTGTGTGCACTAGAAAGCTGTTTTCATATCAGTCTGCAGAAGAAGGGAACGTTTCTCTGTTCTCATCTTCAATCTGAGTTTAACAGAGACAGAGAGAGACAGACAGACATATACATAGATAGATATATAGATAGATACTGTATATAGATACATAGACAGATAGATAGATAGACTGATTGATTACATCAGCGGGTCCTCAGGTGGAGCACAGAAGGCTGGAGCAGCCTCTCACGAGAACAGATGGCGGCCATGTTTCCATCTAAGTGCGCTTTGGCACCGTGCTGATACATTCATCTATTTCAGCGGGCAGGACGCCACACTGTAAACCATGAACACAACCTTCATGGAGGGAGCACTGTGTGCACACGTTTGCTTTATAAAATATAGGGGAATATGTGCTGATGCAGCATATACAGTATCCACTGAGAATTTTCTCACCGCTCCTTTCACCCACTCAACTCATGTCACGTTAAGGCACCTATCAGTGTGTGTGCAGCACCAAACAGGAGTGGATTTCAATTAGATTAGATCGATATTGTCTGTCTTCGATCTGAAACAGCAATCTGCTTAATGACATTAATAATGGCGCAGAGACAAACAAGGTCCTTGGCTGGAATTGCCAAATGATGCACAACACCTATTTGTGTCTGAGTCAGTCCTCCAGAGCAGTTCTTCTGCTTCTTCTTGAATCTCTTTTCATTGTCTCTGTGAATGTGAAAACAAAACTATACAGACTAGAGCAGAGTCTACACATTACGGATCAGCAGATGGCCGACTCTTGTTAAATGACAGACATATTCACTTCATTAGAAAGGCATCACTGCTTGATGATGTCTCATTAAACACATTGGGCTACCCAGCAGCAAAGTGTAACATTTGCACAGGAAACATCCGCTAACAGAAGTCGTGTTGCAATAATTCGTCATTATGCAGTTTGACTGACCTCATAAAACCACTTGAGGTCTGGATAGAGCAGCACTTACTTGTCCAGTTTATTTCAAGCCAACATACTGTATTATATGTGAATTGTTGCAACGCTCATTTTAATTCATAATCAAAATATGGATATTGTGGAAGGTTTTATAATCACCTACAAAGCAGAGTGCACATTCCTTTCTGAGCAAACCGACTGGTTAGATATAAAAGTATTTTGTTACAGAGAAACGTCTCACCTCCATCTGGTCTTAGAGAGAGAACTGTTCTGGGATCTGTCAGTGTTCATCATTTCTCCAATAACTCACTATTAAGCATCTGCTGCCCATCAGGGGGGCCCCGACAAAATCAAGGCTAGCAGTCTCATCTGCGAGTCCTCCTTTATACAATGACTTGTCCCCCCCGGTGCATGTGCAGGGTGATGGAGGGTAAAATATAAAACAGACTCTGGGGGGGGGACGTTTGGGTAAAAGCAAACAAAGAAAACACTGCAGGAGCATCAAGAAGAACTAATACATGTATTCTGCTTACGCGATGTGTTCTGTTTTGATGAATAGAGATGAGAAGTGTTTTATTTGACATACAGAAAGACTGCTTGTACCTCTTATTACATAAAAACCTTAATGCCTCATTAAAAGGCTGAAATTGCATTTTATTAAGATTCTAAACATGCACTACTTGTTCATTTGTCTTTTCTCTTTCTATGTTTATTGTGACCAAAATATTAAGGAAAACCTACTTGGCAATAACTAAATTCTGATGCCTGAATAGTTCAAATTTCACACGCCAGTATTTAAACAAAATAAAGGGTTTAAGATGAAAGACAAATGACGTACGAGGAGCTTTGTGTGACAGCTGAGATCAAATATTCATAGGTGCATTTGTCTGCGATTCCTCAGAGAGCAGAGCCGCTGTTTGGACTGATGTGAGCCGCTGAGCCGAAATGCTGTGACCTTCTGGAATCCTAAATGGAAACACTACTCGTGCTCAACTCGGGCGCTGCAGGTCACTGAGAGGCTGATGGAGGTGAAGTCCTGAGAGGAGCGGTGGCGTCTCATCTTCAGCCGCACAGCGACAGGGAGGAAATAGACGAGTGAATGAACCCGACTCGTCCAGCTGAGTGCGAGACAAACATGAATACAAAGACCTATTAATGGTCGCTAGAGGCTTAGAGCAGGTTTCATGAGCCTTAAAGGAATAGGTCGGCATTTTGCTAACTGTCATTTGCCAAGCAAATAAAGCTCCATCTCCAAAATGTCACGCTATTCCTTTAAGAAAAGAAAAATCCTTTAAAACTGTCCTTTTGAAGGTTGACTTGCAATCAAAAGCCATCAATGCCAGAAGCTATGACAAGTCAGTTTCCTTCAGAAACACACCAAATGATTCTGGCAAATCTAGCAAGGTTGACATGAAGGTTGCAACTCCTGCAAGTCCTCTGAAAACATTGACAGCCTTCAAAGTCTACGCACGCTTTTATGCAGAGTGTAAAACCTGTGATGCGCTCAAAACGGTGAGAAACTACGGTGCTATGTGAAGGAAAATGTTCAAGCTTCAAAAGGATCGACTTAAATACGACCACTTAGCCCAGACGATACTATTCTAAAAATAGATTTCAAGGCCACTAAACAGCATTCAACAGATGCACTCTGGCAACACCGATAGCCCTTCCCACTGATGCATTCTGGGTGGCTGCCCTTGAAGCCGGTTTTTGTCGGTTTTTCTCAGACTTAATGAATTCGGAGTGGAAGGACATTCGAGTCACATCCTGCAGAAGTAGCACTCGGATTTTAAGCTTAATAGGTGATGGAGAACTCCTCTGATTGAAGGATCTGCTTATCATTCAAGCTATTGATTAGATTCACATCTCCTTAAATAAGCACAATAAATCATAAAGACTGTGTCACACACACGTTTTTTTTCCTCTTTTTATTCAGTGATAAATAATTTCCTATGATCATAGGCTTTATGTGAAGACATCCGATCTAGGCAAGAGACAAATTAGAGGGCACACGTCGCCACCATTAGAAAATAATAGCAGAAACAAAAACAATGAGGTAAGAAGTTCTCTTTTTTTATACATTTGTGGTGCTTCTATTTCTGTTGCCTATAACTGTTGAACGCACAGTGCTTCCTAATACAGCCTGCCTTTTGTGTGTCTGTACATTATTAAACAAAAACAGGTCATCATGGCACAATACTGAACCAACCGACGCAGGGAGGGCACTGCAAAGTGTGGAGCCAGCAGAGTACATCATCATCAGACCGGGAGGAAGACAAGCAGAGCGGGAAACAGAAATACAAAACTAAACTCTTAAGACTTGGCGGCAGAGCTCCGTGATTGATTCAAAACACACACACACACACACACACACACACACACACACACACACACACA